GATGGATCAAGGAAGCAATCAAGATAAGGAGACGTGGATGTGGGACCATGAACAGGGACGACGGAGTTTACACACTGGACCACGCATGGGACTGCATCGTTGGAGAGGGGAGAGCGGGCAGTAGAGGGCGACAACGTCCTCTGCTGCCCGCAGATAAACGGAGAAGGAAGTGACGCGCCACCATCAGCGTCAGCCTGAAGAAGCCGGCAGCCGTCGGCGAAACTGTAGCTACTAACAGGTAAACAAAACTGTTTCTGTGTTTAAAAAAGAACGAAAGCATGAACGTAGACATGACTTGACCTAATAACGTAGACATGACTTGACCTAATAACGTACATGACTTGACCTAATAACGTAGAATGACTTGACCTAATAACGTAGACATGACTTGACCTAATAACGTAGACATGACTTGACCTAATAACGTAGAAATGACTTGACCTAATAACGTAGACATGACTTGACCTAATAACGTAAATATGACTTGACCTAATAACGTAGAAATGACTTGACCTAATAACGTAGACATGACTTGACCTAATAACGTAGACATGACTTGACCTAGTAAAGTAGACCTGACTTGACCTAATGACGTAGACATGGCCTAATAACATAGACATGACTTGACCTAATAACGTAGACATGACTTGACCTAATAATGTAGACATGACTTGACCTAATAACGTAGACTTGACTTGACCTAATAACGTAGACATGACATGACCTAATAACATAGACATGACTTGACCTAATAACGTAGACATGACTTGACCTAATAACGTAGACATGACTTGACCTAATAACGTAGACATGACTTGACTAATAATGTAGACATGACTTGACCTAATAACGTAGACATGACTTGACCTAGTAAAGTAGACATGACTTGACCTAGTAAAGTAGACCTGACTTGACCTAGTAACATAGACTTGACCTAATAACATAGACATGACTTGACCTAATAAAGTAGACTTTACTTGACCTAATAACATAGACTTGACCTAATAATGTAGACATGACTTGACCTAATAACGTAGACAGACTTGACCTAATAACATAGATATGACTTGACCTAATAACGTAGACTTGACTTGACCTAATAACCTAGACATGACTTGACCTAATAACGTAGACATGACTTGACCTAATAACGTAGACATGACTTGACCTAATAACGTAGACATGACTTGACCTAATAACCTAGACACGACTTTACCTAATAACGTAGACATGACTTGACCTAATAACGTAGACATGACTTGACCTAATAACGTAGACATGACTTGACCTAATAACGTAAATGACTTGACCTAATAACGTAGACTCGACTTTACCTAATAACGTAGACATGACTTGACCTAATAACGTAGACATGACTTGACCTAATAACGTAGACACGACTTTACCTAATAACCTAGACACGACTTTACCTAATAACGTAGACATGACTTGACCTAATAACGTAGACATGACTTGACCTAATAACGTAGACATGACTTGACCTAATAACGTAGACATGACTTGACCTAATAACGTAGACATGACTTGACCTAGTAAAGTAGACCTGACTTGACCTAATAACGTAGACAAGACCTAATAACATAGACATGACTTGACCTAATAACGTAGACATGACTTGACCTAATAACGTAGACATGACTTGACCTAATAACGTAGACATGACTTGACCTAATAACGTAGACATGACTTGACCTAATAACGTAGACATGACTTGACCTAGTAACGTAGACATGACTTGACCTAATAACGTAGACATGACTTGACCTAATAACGTAGACATGACTTGACCTAATAACGTAGACTTGACTTGACCTAGTAAAGTAGACCTGACTTGACCTAATAACGTAGACTTGACTTGACCTAATAACCTAGACATGACTTGACCTAATAACGTAGACATGACTTGACCTAATAACGTAGACATGACTTGACCTAGTAAAGTAGACCTGACTTGACCTAATAACGTAGACATGACCTAATAACATAGACATGACTTGACCTAATAACGTAGACATGACATGACCTAATAACGTAGACATGACTTGACCTAATAACGTAGACATGACTTGACCTAATAACGTAGACATGACTTGACCTAATAACGTAGACATGACTTGACTAATAATGTAGACATGACTTGACCTAATAACTTAGACATGACTTGACCTAGTAAAGTAGACCTGACTTGACCTAGTAACATAGACTTGACCTAATAACATAGACATGACTTGACCTAATAAAGTAGACTTTACTTGACCTAATAACATAGACTTGACCTAATAATGTAGACATGACTTGACCTAATAACGTAGACAGACTTGACCTAATAACATAGATATGACTTGACCTAATAACGTAGACTTGACTTGACCTAATAACCTAGACATGACTTGACCTAATAACCTAGACATGACTTGACCTAATAACGTAGACATGACTTGACCTAATAACGTAGACATGACTTGACCTAATAACCTAGACACGACTTTACCTAATAACGTAGACATGACTTGACCTAATAACGTAGACATGACTTGACCTAATAACGTAGACATGACTTGACCTAATAACGTAAATGACTTGACCTAATAACGTAGACTCGACTTTACCTAATAACGTAGACATGACTTGACCTAATAACGTAGACATGACTTGACCTAATAACGTAGACACGACTTTACCTAATAACCTAGACACGACTTTACCTAATAACGTAGACATGACTTGACCTAATAACGTAGACATGACTTGACCTAATAACGTAGACATGACTTGACCTAATAACGTAGACATGACTTGACCTAATAACGTAGAATGACTTGACCTAATAACGTAGACATGACTTGACCTAATAACGTAGACATGACTTGACCTAATAACGTAAATGACTTGACCTAATAACGTAGACTCGACTTTACCTAATAACGTAGACATGACTTGACCTAATAACGTAGACATGACTTGACCTAATAACGTAGACACGACTTTACCTAATAACCTAGACACGACTTTACCTAATAACGTAGACATGACTTGACCTAATAACGTAGACATGACTTGACCTAATAACGTAGACATGACTTGACCTAATAACGTAGACATGACTTGACCTAATAACGTAGAATGACTTGACCTAATAACGTAGACATGACTTGACCTAATAACGTAGACATGACTTGACCTAATAACGTAGAAATGACTTCACCTAATAACGTAGACATGACTTGACCTAATAACGTAGACATGACTTGACCTAATAACGTAGAAATGACTTGACCTAATAACGTAGACATGACTTGACCTAATAACGTAGACATGACTTGACCTAGTAAAGTAGACCTGACTTGACCTAATAACGTAGACATGACCTAATAACATAGACATGACTTGACCTAATAACGTAGACATGACTTGACCTAATAACGTAGACATGACTTGACCTAATAACGTAGACATGACTTGACCTAGTAACGTAGACATGACTTGACCTAATAACGTAGACATGACTTGACCTAATAACGTAGACATGACTTGACCTAATAACGTAGACTTGACTTGACCTAGTAAAGTAGACCTGACTTGACCTAATAACGTAGACTTGACTTGACCTAATAACCTAGACATGACTTGACCTAATAACGTAGACATGACTTGACCTAATAACGTAGACATGACTTGACCTAATAACGTAGAAATGACTTGACCTAATAACGTAGACATGACTTGACCTAATAACGTAGACATGACTTGACCTAATAACGTAGACATGACTTGACCTAATAACGTAGACATGACTTGACCTAATAACGTAGACATGACTTGACCTAATAACATAGACATGACTTGACCTAATAACGTAGATATGACTTGACCTAATAACGTAGACATGACTTGACTAATAACGTAGACATGACTTGACCTAATAACGTAGACTTGACTTGACCTAGTAAAGTAGACCTGACTTGACCTAGTAACATAGACTTGACCTAATAACATAGACATGACTTGACCTAATAAAGTAGACTTTACTTGACCTAATAACATAGACTTGACCTAATAATGTAGACATGACTTGACCTAATAATGTAGACAGACTTGACCTAATAACATAGATATGACTTGACCTAATAAAGTAGACTTTACTTGACTTAATAACTTAAACTTGACCTAATAATGTAGACATGACTTGACCTAGTAAAGCAGACCTGACTTGACCTAGTAACATAGACTTGACCTAATAACATAGACATGACTTGACCTAATAAAGTAGACTTTACTTGACCTAATCACATAGACTTGACCTAATAATGTAGACATGACTTGACCTAATAACGTAGACAGACTTGACCTAATAACATAGATATGACTTGACCTAATAAAGTAGACTTTACTTGACTTAATAACATAGACTTGACCTAATAACGTAGGCATGACTTGACCTAATAACGTAGACTTGACTTGACCTAATAACCTAGACATGACTTGACCTAATAATGTAGACATGATTTGACCTAATAACGTTGGCAGACTTGACCTAATAACATAGATATGACTTGTCCTAATAAAGTAGACTTTACTTGACTTAATAACATAGACTTGACCTAATAATGTAGACATGACTTGACCTAATAACGTAGACAGACTTGACCTAATAAAGTAAACATGACTTTACTATAGTAAAGTAGACTTGACCTAATAAAGTAGACTTGACCTAATAACATAGACATGACGTAGTACACTTCGCATGACTTGACTAAACATGGTAAAGCAGACTTGACTTGATAAAACGTGACTTGTAATTTTTGGGATCTTTGCAGGGAAATGGTAGCCTAGTGAACTAGACCAAATTCTTGCTTTGCAAAGAATGGTCTAGGCATGCTCCATTGGAACCTCCGCAGCTCCTACCAGGACTCTGGCTAGCCAATCACAGCTCTCTAGAGGGGTTTCAAACACATAAAGAGCTGTGATTGGTCCATAATGGTGGGCCAATCATAGTGCTCTATCTGCTTAGTGAACAAATCACAGAGCTTTATCGCTTTGTGGGCCAATCAGGGCACTCTATATGCCTGGTGGGTGGGATGATGCAACAGAGTGAAACAAGAGTATGTCACATTCATTGTCCAGTGGAATGTGGAGATCATTTGAAAGACAACGGTAGAACCCGCCCCACAACCGAGAGCCGTCAATGGAGCATGGCCAGACTAAATCATACATTTATTTAGTCTGGCTTGCCAGGCTAGGGAAATGGTGGATTTAGCTCAGATTGGTTTCATAACAAAAAGCAGATAATTGGTTCAACAGATTTCGTGATGAAAGCTTTTTAGACCAGTGATTCGTGTCAGCAGTCCAACTCGCTCTAACCTACCACGAGCGTTCTCTGATCTGTTGCTTTTGCTGTTTCTCTGCAGCAGAACGCCGCTGGAGGTAATTGGTTGAGTCAGACAAAGAAAGCTGCAGACTTTGTTCCCTGAGCTGAAGGTTTTTATAGCTTCACATTTAAATCCACTCATATTAAACTTGTCATGCTCTGTGTTCATCGTCCCTTGAGGGTTTGAGAGTTGTACTTGAGTAAAGGTGAGCAAGTGTTGATGCGAGTATACGTCATGCATGTCGTGCGTACGCCGCTGCAGCCTGTTCAGGTCTGCAGCTGGCCCTCTCCACGCATTTCCAACAAGCTGTTCGCCTCCTCCAAACATCCGTTCCTTCACCTCCTCTGTGCCTCCCCCGTTTCCCCCTCTTCATCTCACACCAAATGAAAACACACTGGTTCAGCTGCAGAGAGCAGGCGAGGAGAGACGGCTGCCGCTCCTGATTCTATTAACTCGGATCTCCATTTCAGACCGGCAGCAGAAACTCGGGTCTCCATAAATCCACTCAAATGAGCTGCAGACTCCCTTAACAGGGCCTCAGAGGGATTAGGCTTGCAGGCAGAAGAAAACTCTGAAAACTGCTCTGGAACTACAAAACCAGGAGTGGCGAACCTTGCTTTGTTCTAAAATAAGAAGATGAGAAATGGTTAAAACTGTGGAAAATGTGGATTTTCACCTAACTTTTGATGTTTTGTCTGCATGTCTTCTGTTTGGCTTAGATCCTCCTGCCTCCGTCAGAGCTGACGGTGCAAATGTCACCTCTCATCCTGCATCGGACCTGTGCCGGCGCCCAGACGTGTTTTATGTCCTCGCAGTTCTCCTGACGTCAGCTTCAGTACCTGAAGGAGTGGTTCCAAATTAGAATTCATATTTTAGCATTTCTTTGTTTAACGACTCAGTCCTAACCTGATCTGCAGCAGTTATAAATGCATGGAGGTAAGTGTAAACATGATAAAATGCTTTTGGAGTAAAGAACAATAAAAATCATTATTGTCTAGCATTTTTGTACATTATTAATATCATTATTTTGTTGTAATCCAGCTGATCTGGCTCCTTCTGGACTTCTGACAGCATTTCTAAGTGGATTCGGTGAGCAGGTAACAACAGTTTCCAACAGCCCGAGCTTCTAGCCATGAGCTTCGCAGCCCAACATGAAACCATTGGGACCCTCAGAGAGACGCTGACGTCTCTTTCAAATCAAATCAAATCAAATCAAATCAAATCAAAGATACTTTATTCATCCCAGAGGGAAATTAGAGTTTCAGTACACACAATTCAGAGATCAGACATACATGGGCAAGACACATGACAAGAATTGGTGACTGTGGTCATTCGCAACCTGAGTCGCGCTACCTTAATAGAGATCAGAGGGTTACATGAGGATTGGTTCAGGTGGAGGGAAAAAAAGGCACTTCAGAGTTACCCTCCACAAGGAGGGCAGCTTTGCTCTGCAAAAAAACACCTCAAACCTATATAAGCACGAACATCAACAGTTCACAACATGAGACTCCAATAGGAAGGTGGTGGTGGTGGTGGGGGGGGGGTCCTGTTTCCCCCAGCAAGAGCAGCCATCTAAGGCGCTCATCTACTGTACAGTCACAGGTGGGAGATCTTGGGAGAAGCGACAAGCACATAGACTCCTCCAGTTGATGACCTCACCAGGCTGAAGTCCATCAATCCGAAGGCAGAGGGGGGTAGGTCGGGTTTTCACAGCATCTGTCTGCATTCCTTCGTGGGGGTAGCTCAAGGCTACCAGGGCGTCCGATTCAGATAACAAGACTTTGTTTGGGTCAGGCTGAGATAATTTCCCTCTCTGCCTTCAGTCTTTAAACCGATCATTTCCAGTCCTTCAGTGAAGCCAGTTTTGGGTTTTTAAACCTGTCCATACCGTCCGGTGACTCTCTCCGAGATGACATCCATTTTGCGCACTAATACCGGTATCGCAGCTAGAACATTGATCAGCTTACGATTCACCTCGAGTAACGTCCCAGTCTGAGAAGTCTCCACACGGACGGTGCTTTCCGTGGGTGCGGGTCGCCCTCCAATCGCTCCCGTCTTCCCAAATTTCCAGAAAACCGGATATCCAATCAGGAGAAATCCAGTGATCATCAGACCAAATATCCACACGTCTTCGATGTCCTCAACGGACAGCTGGGAGAGGCACATGATCTTCCACTCCTTCCAGGAATCCAACATATATCCCACCGGGTGTGTCCCCTGTGGACATGTGGGAGCCCCCTGCTCCGTTCTCATTGTTGAAAAAATCTTATCGATCGCATTGAATGACCGGTTTATTAAATCCATGGTTAGTAAAAATAGAGTTTTTCAGAAGAAATGCAGAGAAGCGCTCTGTGGGCAGACAGGACAAAGAGCCTTGGGATAAAAAGATAAGGGAGCGAAAGAGAGAAGCGTCTGTACTCCTCGAGTGCCATCTAGTTTGACCTTAAATTACAGAAAAGCAATAAGGACGCATTTGGAATTCGACATTTCAGGTGAAAACTTTCTGTAATTTGACATTTAAAGGCAGATATCGCTATGACAACGGACTGCGGTGTGAGGCGGATGTTTTTTATATTATATCTGTTTTTAATAATTCAGCTCACAACAGCCGTCGGCTCAGAGTCGCCTTCACCACCTTTTTGTGGTGAAGGCGACTAAATAATCAAACATAAACAAGCAGAAGGAGATCACAAAGAGAGGAGGAGAAAAGAAATCAATTCTAGGCAACCTTTGGGGGGGGGTCAGGCTGGAGATGAGGAGCAGAGGAAATTTATGGGGAACACAAGCTGCTGTGGGAGTAAAAGAAAAGTGGAGATGGGAGGAAAAGAGGAGAGGGGGGGTGTCATTTGTAATCTGGAGGAGAAGTCGAGATAAGAAGGAGGAAAAGAGGAGCAGAAGAGGAGCAGGGAAGGAAAGAGACACAGAGGAGGAGAAGAGGAGGAAAAGAGGAGCTGGAGAGAGGAGCAGAGGAGAAAGGAGTAACAGAGGAAGAAAAGAGGAGCAAAAAAGGAGAAGAGGAGCAGGGAAGAAAAGAGGAGCAGAGGAGGAAAGAGGAGAGTCAAAGGGAGAAAATGCCTGGAAACAAATTCAATTTAAAAGAAACAAGTTACAAACAGACAAAATTGTGTGTGTGTGTGTGTGTGTGTGTGTGTGTGTGTGTGTGTGTGTGTGTGTGTGTGTGTGTGTGTGTGTGTGTGTGTGTGTGTGTGTGTGTGTGTGTGTGTGTGTGTGTGTGTGTGTGAACCTATGGTATGAGTTGTTTCTGACAGTTGAATCTCTTGGAACCCGCTCCAATTCTGCAGCTGTATCCTAGCAGTTTCTTCCTAAATGGGTAAGTAAATAATCATGTTTTTCGGGGGTCGTACAGCTCCTTGTGTTTCTCAACTTCCATAATTAATTTAAAGTCATCCATCTTAACTGCTTGCCTCAGACTTTCTGACTCTCTGTCCTGTTTGCTCCAGAAAAAAGACACCCAAAACCACACACCCTTCACGTGGTCACACACGCACACAAGTTCGATGTGTGTGTATGTGTGTGTGTGTTCGTGTGGTTTTTCTGCAGTGTCTGATTATGAACACATTTGACTATTGCGGGATTTTATTTTGAAATGCTTTATTTTGTTAACTTTACCGGCCTGCCTCTCATGTCTAGGTTTGACTTCCTGCCAGAATTGACGCGATTCACCCGCGGCTCACGAAAAAAATAGAGCCAACGCCGAAATGATCGCTGCACGGCGCGGGCTGGAGCGCCGGCGCGAGGCGATTTGCGGCGCTTCGGCGGCCCATGTGGTCTATAGAATAGCTTAACAAGGGCGCCAAATGAAGGCGGTCCCATTTTTGCGGCGCTTCCGTGGCCAGTGTGTCCCCGGCATCAGTCATTGCACTCCCATAGCACCCCCAAGTAAATATTAGATTTTTTTTTTACAATTTAATTTTAATTTAACGTGTGGATGTGATAATATTTAACATACAAAAAAAATCAGCAAATTATCATATAGATAGTAAAAACTTAAACCAAAACAGGAAATTGATGTTAACCTTTGACCTCATTTTCCACCTGTGAACGAGTGAAAGGTAGAGCTAGCGGTAAAATGGATCGGTTTTTGTTGCCCACATTTCCACGGGTTCAGTCAGAAACAAATGAATGTTTGGAAGTGATGTCAGACCCACAAAAACCTACGGATCTGGATGAAGAGAGTCAACCCTCAACCGCCGCAGCAGTCGAGGGTTTTGCCGCTGGAAATGCTAACGCTAACGTTAGCTAACCTTGCAACACTATAGATGGTTTTCTGTGTGGCTGTATGTGTTTATGATTTCATGGAAAAGTCAGCGATTGTTCATATGTTTATGATGTTTATTAATGATTGTTTCAGGTGTTGTTGAGGTGTTGTGCACGCATGTGTATCTGCTAGTGTTGAAGGTGTTTTAGAGAACAATAGGTACGCATGACCACTTCCTTCATAGCACCTGCAGAAAAACATTTCTGGAGCCGCCACTGTCTGCAGCAGCAGAGAAGCATCGTGTTTAGATTCAGCCAGACAGGAAGTCAAAGATGGAAGCAGCGTAGCTCATTTCAAAATAAAAGATGTGCAGATTTCCAGTTGGTTAGGTCATTACATGTGACACGTGGAGAGCTGAGGTACGGGAACACGTGCTACCATCTTTCTTCTTGCTTGTTTTTGTGTGAACTGCTGAAATCTTTATTCTCAGGTGACCTGGGTGACCTCGTGGAACCAGATGTATGGAATGCCGTTTCACATCAGAAATGCTTGCGTGTCTAACGTAAACAGTTAGCTATCTCTTTATGTTTCTGTTTCTCATAATTATGGGATAGAAGAATTTCTTACACCAGTGGCGGAAATGGGCTTCCGTAGCTTCTTCCTCTTCTTGACTCTTTTGCCAACAGTAACAAAACAAATGTTGTCGCGTTGCTGTTGGTTAATTTGTTAGAACAAAATCCTCTGATTGATCATTTTTCTGCTCAGCCTTTCTGTGTTTCCTCGCCGCTCCAGTGTGACATAAATGAATCAACCTGCAGCAGCTTTAAGGTTCCTCTGAGCTCTCACAGTAAATGTCACAATGATTGATCTCGCCACCGAGTCCGGTGGAATCGATACGGTTTGTTTTCCAGCCGGCAGCGCCGTTCTGCTGCTCGGCTCCTCCCGGGCCTCTGAAGCTGCGTCCAGGACGTCGACCGGGCTTCTGAAAGCAAAAAAAATCGGCTCCTGGGGGGACAGTTTTGCCGGAGCTCAGGGGTCTCTGCTCAGAGAGCGTCCAGCTGATAATCAGACACAGATCTGGTCCGAAGCACAAAGATCTTCTCATCTCAACGCTCTAATGGATTCCTATTTCTGATGATTCGCGTATCAAAAGATGAAATGCTTTTATCGTCACTGAGCACCCGTAGATATGTCGATGCTGAACACACGTGACTAAAGGCAAGGCATTTTGCAGCGTAACACAACGGAAATGAAAATATTGCTAAATATGATACAAACTGTGGAAAACAAAACAGAAAATAACAAATGATAAATTGCACAAAAGAGGGAAAGTGCTGTAAAAAGCAGGGGAAGAAAGAGGAGGCCTCTCTCCTTTCATCCTTGGGGTCAATTTGACCCAGTGGCGGATTTAGCAATTTGGGGGCCCAAGGTGAGCACAGACCTGGGCCCCCTTACACAAAATTTTCGACAATCTTATCTTTAACTGGATTTGCGAAACTCTCCCCTCTTCTGACGCGAGTTTTCCCTTTTTATTAGTCCTCTTTTTTTTATTAGTCGTCCTCTTTTTTCCGGTCTTTCTCTCCCGTTGAGTGCCCTCAATATTTGCTCTGCTTTCTTCTTCCTGTTAGTGCTCCTGTGCTTTTGCCTTTCTTTCTTTTTTCTTCTATTTTCCATTTTGGTCTGTGTTTTCCTCCCTTTAAACATTTTCCGTCGTCTTTTCTTTTCTGCTTCCTTTGATGTTTACATAGAAAATTGACGTCACTTTCGGGAGTGAAGATAAAAGTTCGTTTAAAGCAAGCTGCTTTTCTCTTATTGGAGCCACGAGGATAACTCCATTTCATACTTCAAGTTTTGACTATCGCTTGAGTTTGTTACGAACGCTCCCGCCTCTCTTCTTCTTTTGCTTTCTCTTCTTCTTTTTATTTGTGCTCTTGTGACACTTGGCAAACAACAATTTGGTGCATTACTGCCACCAACTGGATTGGAGTGGAATGACTACCAAATGCTTCCTGTTTGTGCATCGGCATCTTAAAGAGGGGTGCCAGCAGTCAGGGATAGGGCCCCCCCCCCCCAACATAAGGGGGCCCCAGGCGGCCGCCGACCTGTGCCTAATGGTAAAACCGCCACTGATTTGACCCCATTGAATATTTATCATTCAAAAACTAAAAGTGAACTTTAATTTCATGACTTTTCTTAATTTGATGGGGAAACCTGAAGAAGACTTTTATGCTCGTTTGAAACGGCTTTTGCTTCTTTGGACTATTCAGACTTGGGCTTTCGGGCCGACAGCGGAACAGGATTTTTTTAGAAAAAGAAGTATTTGCTTCTTCGGACCGCCCGTTGACGGACATCCGCAGCGGTGGGTACGTCACGTTGTTTGTTGTCTACTAACATGTGGAGAAGGTTTTACTTCATCTCTCTGTGGGGCGGGGCCAAAACTCAGTTGATGCAATTATTTTCCTGCACACTAATTCCTAAAGTTTTGAACTATGAATGCTGATGTGATGATGAAGCAATAGTTGTAATTACTGCCCAGTTTTGATGCGTAAACAGTAATTATACATGTTTTGTGCAGGTTTAAAGGTCAGATCTCAGCAGCGGACATGATGAGTTTCCAGAAACCTCAGCCTCCACCCTCTCTGCTGCTCATGTGATTTACCCGCTCGTCTGTTGACTCGTTTCCAGGAAACACGGCCCGCCATCAAGCAGAAACGAGCTCTGATCGTCCTCCTAACCGCCATCCGTCTCCTGCTGAGTTTCAGGAAACACGGTAGCTCAGAAGCTGAAATTGAATTTTTAAGATGAAGTTAAAATCCTAATTAAATGAGTTATTTTTGATATTTTTGGATTTTCTGGGATTTTGGCATTTTGATCCCTACATCAACATCAGAGCAAGTTTGGATGACTTATGAGGCCATAAGTGTAATAAAGTAAAACAAATGTCAAATTTAAAACTCAGTTTTTATTGATGTGTGTGTGTGGGGGGGGGGGGGGGGGATCTCAGACACAGAGTTACTGAAGCGACTAAAACGGAAGCAAAAGCAAAAATCTGTCATTTTCAGTCGTCATTATCGGAGATAAAACACATTTAACATCAAAATTTGAAATATTTGGCAGCTCAACAAATCATAAATGCCTATTTTCTACCTTTAATGCTGAAAATTCTCTAATATGTCCAAAAAACAACAATGAAGACTAAAAAATATTAATAAAAAGTGTTGATTCCGGTTAAAGACAGAATTTATTTGTTTTTGTGTTCTTTTGACTCTTAATGATGTTCTGGTGGAAATAATGAAGAAATTTATGATAAAACGTAAATTCATTCAAGTATTTCATGAGTAAAAGACAAGGTCTAATTCTTTAATCTAAAGTTTTGCCAGGAAGAGATGTTGAATAAACATCTGGATGAGGCAGGGGGAAGCAAATGAATCCCAACCGTGATGAAACGTGATAAGTGAATCCCTCGTTATCATAATAATTACATAAATGCGGAAGAAATCTACTAAATCAGATCAAGATTTGTCTCAAAATAAGGTTTTGATGCGCTGCATCGATAGAATTAGCTGAGTAAATGATTCCCATCTGCAGCTTTCAGCAGAAACATCTCAGTTACCTCTCCTCACCTGGTGACACCCCCCCCCCCCCCCCCCCCCACACACACACACACACATACACGTTCCCTCTGCAGAGCTGATTAGAGGCCCCTTCCAGGAACAGAGGACGACACAAGGTCGGCTCCCCGTCTGCCAGCAGAGCCCTTAGATCCAGACGAGGAAGAGGCTGCAGCAGGATGAAGATGAATGGTCTAATTGGGGGGGGGGGGGGGGGGGGGGGGGGTGTCATACGGGACTTCATCGTAGGAGGTGATCACAAACTGATTGAGCTTTTTGTTTGGACCAGCTGCTGAATTTGTTCTCCAGAAGACAAGAGGGAGGCTGAAACAAGAGGTTTGAAATTTCTAAAAAAAAAAAAACTCTCGACCAATCACAGCGCAGCATTCTCCTCTCCGATCACAATAACATCTGCTTGTTTTTACACATGGCTGACCTTTTAAAACTCAAACCAGAATCGGTTTTTTCATAAAAATATCCAGTGTTCGTTGTTGCAAAACATACAAACTCATTTTGCAGCGTCCCGCGACTAGAAATAATATATGTATATATATGTGTGTGTGTGTGTGTGTGTGTGTGTGTGTGTGTGTGTGTGTGTGTGTGTGTGTGTGTGTGTGTGTGTGTGTGTGTGTAATAATATAATTTCTCCGTTCAAACCAAATAAAAGGATATTTCAACAATCTGATTACCACAGTTCTCGTTAGATAAACAAAAGAGGTGAAAAGGCCGGGACACGGCCTCCCAGAGACGACTAAACACCATCTTTGTGCGAGAACACGCGCCGTCGTGCAACACTGATAAACCCATTGTCTGTGGTCGGGGGTGTACTCCAGCTGAGCCGATAAGTCCCGTAACCTACCACCTCTGTGCCCTATCTAAAAAATGATACGCAGTTGCTACGGCAACGCCGGAGGTTAGCCCATTGGTTAATGATTCCAGTCTCGACTGATCTTGTCTAATATTTAGCTTTCTCCTGATAAACGCAGCTGGTGAGTTCCTACCTGTTCAGGTGTTTTATGGTGGAGTCTGCTCCGTGCTCCTGACTCAGGCAATCAGCATCTCACGTGTCAAGGTCCCTCGTCACATTTTCATCACTCCTGTAGCCAAAAACACGAATTGATAACAAATACTGTAAAGGAGATAATTAATAAAACCTGATTTTAAAAAAACGGCACGTTCTCACTCATAAGCAGCACCTCATAGATCCCAGTCATGATGTAATTAATTTAAGTAAAATGTTTTAAATGTTTAGTTTTTTCATTATTGTAGATCTGTTTTAAAATCTATAAATTTTAATCATCCCATCTTCGAAACTGTCCTTTAGAAGTTTTATGAAATTTATTTAAATGTATTTTTCAATTTTTTAAAATGAATTTCTATATTTTATTCATTTAATCAAACATTGAAAAAAATAAACAAACACTGGCTGACAGGTTTGTTTAAAATTTAATTAAAAAAATTCTTCTATTTCTGTCATCGGAAATACTGATGGAATAGTATTCCCTGTAGGCTCGGAAATGGCAAATGTCATAAAAAGAGGATGAAATAAAAAGTAAAATCTGAGGGTTTTTTCCACCATGACTGTAACATTTTTATGTATTAGTTTTTAGTTTTGAATGCATACTATGATCAAATAAAAACTCTAATTTTAAAAATAACAAGGACATTTTTCTCATTCGTAACTTAATTTTTGGAATTAGACTAATTTGATTATTTATTTATTGGTTTCATTTCATTAGTTTTTTGTTCTTGGTTGAATCGAAACATTTATTTTAAACATTAACATTTGATGCTAATTGTCATTCATTTTGAAAACGGCACCCCATACTCAAGTCCTCTGATGAAAGGGGGCGTGGCCAAAGCAGTGGGAATAAAAAGAACTCCGCTCATCTTTTCTCTCAAACCTCTGCAGGTGAAGCCGCTTTACCAGGTAACGAAATCCTGTTTTTTTTTTTTTTTTTTTTTTTTGTAATTTAATCAGATTTGAAAAGTTTAATCTGACTTCTGACGGGATTTAGAACCTTAAATACATGGACGTAATTTTCACTTGAGAAGTGAGGGGGCACCGGGGGGGGGGGGGGGATCTTTACAGTATGCTCTAATGGGAAACAGGTTTCAACACAACCGGCTGTTTTCCGCTTGGTCTTAGAGCTCAACCAGTGTCAATTTAATATAGCGTAATATTGTTTTTGGATGGCAAAAAGTACATGGGGTCAAAACTTGATTTTGGAAAAAGTGGGGGGGACATGTCCCCCCTGTCCCCGACACCCCCCACCCCCCCACCCCCCAATTACGTCCATGCTTAAATATCCCCAGAACCTCCTTCATGTCCAGGCGTTAATCCATTAATATTAGATTTTTTATTTTTTTATTATAGTGGAGACAACCCACTCATCAGGCAGCATGGTGAAGATTGGAATCAATGGGTGAGTTTTACTATTGACAAATTAAATAATTGAATTGGGGAGAATTTAAACAGTCCTAAAAGAGCCTGATGTGCATTATTCTCCTTATAAAAGCTCCCAGCATTTGAGATTATTGTTCTCTAGTCTCAGAGGATGCTCTTGTGACCTTTCGGGGATTTTCTCAGACTAATAAAGACAGTTGAGGGAGTTTTCAGGGTTTCTGTGGTTTGAGTGAAAAACAATATTTTAATTTGACTGAACTGGTTTTGTAGTTTTCACCAGATGAAATAAAAGTATTGCATTTATTTTTTGTTACATTAAGATGACTTTTTGTTTTACTTTCAGACTTTTTAGACTCTGCAGACAAAACAAACCCACCTGCCTCTGCAGGTCTGAGCCTCGGATGAACATAGGTGCTTCTGGATTCTGGGCCTGTCTACTCTCTGGTTATTTATAGTTCGGTGCTACGGTTGCTGTCTCCTCCCTTCACACCTTTCAGCCCTCTCCAGTCTGCATCCCTTCTCTCTCTCTCTCTCTCTCTCTCTCTCTCTCTCTCTCTCTCTCTCTCTCTCTCTCTCTCTCTCTCTCTCTCTCTCTCTCTCTCTCTCTCTGCAGCCACGTTCCTTTTCTTGTCTAAATTTAACTCCTAACCTTTCTGAGGTGCACGGGTCCTCCGTGGACGGAGCTACCGGATGTTGTGAAACAGCTGCTGCAGCTGGTAGATGTTTCTGCAGCGATGCTTGGAGACCAAGGGTGGATTCTAAAAAGAAGCAGAGCTGGCACTTTATCAAAATGTTAATCAGCTAACAGAAGATAAACTGATTTTCCGTTTAGACGGAGTATCAAGATTAGTACCTTCATCTCTAACCTGCCATATCCAGTCCTATGTGTCTACTGCCCCCTGGTGGAGGATCTACAAGTGTCATAAGAGACCTTTGACCAATAAACACATTTTTATTTATTATTATTTCATATTTCATCCTTTTAAGGGTTCATATGCTCAACTCATTAAGTGCTCTGCTCATCTGAAGTAGTTATAATCCTGTTAATCTGGTAAACTCAGTTGCAGCTTCAGAACTGCCTTGTTAGGAGTAAACAGGCTTTGGTGTCAGGTGGAAACATCATGATCTTTGGAGTCTGATGGCCTTTTATGGGCCGGCTGTCTGAGGTGACCTGCTTTGGTTTAGGATCTGGTGCCACCTGCTGGTCAGGAAAGCTGGATGTTTTGGTTTTCTTTATGTTTTGTGAAAAGGAAGAAGGAGCAGGCCGGTCAGTGTAAGTGAATCCATGACTCCATCAGATCCAGGTCCTCCAACGTCTGCATCTGGGTTTCAGGTTTGGACGCATCGGCCGCCTGGTGACCCGAGCCGCTGTCATGGGAGGCAAAGCAGAGGTTGTGGCCATCAATGACCCCTTCATCAATCTGGAATACATGGTGGGTGACCTGTTTTGTGCTTCTAAAGGAAAATCTGTGCTTTGCAACTTCAAAATATGACCACAGTTGTACATAACATTCCTTCCTAGATTATCAAACTCTCCCTGTTATTTTAGACTAATGGAAATAAATAAGATACAGATTATTTTCAAATCTAGGTGCCGCCAAGGGGATCTGTTTTGGTGCCCTGAGGATCAGGTCTCTGCTTTTTGCAGATGATGTGGTCCTGTTGGCTTCATCAGAACGTGATCTTCAGCTTTCGCTGGAGCGGTTCGCAGCCGAGTGTGAAGCGGCTGGGATGAGAATCAGCTCCTCTAAATCTAAGACCGTGGTCTTGAGTCAGAAAAGGGTAGAATGCCTTCTCCGGGTCAGGGATGAGGTCCTGCCCCAAGTGGAGGAGTTTAAGTATCTCTGGGTCTTGTTCATGAGTGAGGGAAAGCTGGAGCGTGAGATCGATAGGCGGATTGGTGCTGCACCTGCAGTGATGCAGGCGTTGTACCGGTCTGTCGTGGTGAAGAGAGAGCTGAGTCAGAAGGCGAAGCTCTCGATTTACCGGTCGATCTACGTTCCTATGTAGCTATGGTCGCGAGCTTTGGGATACGAGTGGCCCAAATGAGTCTCTTCTGCAGGGTGGCGGAGATAGAGTGAGAAGCTCGGTCATCCGGGAGGGGCTCAGAGTAGATCCGCTGCTCCTTCACGTCAAGAGAAGCCAGTTGAGGTGGTTAGGACATCTAGTTAGGTTGTCTCCTGGTGAGGTTTTTCTGAGGACGTCTAACTGGGAGAAGACTTAAAGGAAGACCCAGGACACACTGGAGGGACTATGTCTCTCACCTGGCCAGGGAACACCTTGGGTTTCCCCCGGAGGAGCTGGCCCACGTGGCTGGAGAGAGGGAAGTCTGGGCCTCTCTGCTGAGGCTGCTGTCCTCACGACTCGACAACGGATAAGGAGACGATGGATGGATGGATGGATGGATGGATTGTGGTTAATTGTCTGAAGAAACGTTTTTAAAATCAAAGATTTCTGCAAATTCACATTAATAGACTTCTGTTGCCTTACAGGCTTACATGTTCAAGTATGACTCCACTCACGGTGCTTGGAAGCACGGGGAGGTGAAAACAGAAGGTGGCAAGCTGGTCATCGGCAGCATGCGCATTACAATCTCTCACGAGTAAATATTGGTCACGTTTTAGAGGCTGAATGTAATTTCTGAACCGTCTGGATTCTGTTTAACCTGATGTGTGAAACAGGAGGGACCCGGCTAACATCAGGTGGGGCGATGCTGGTGTAGACTACGTCGTGGAGTCTACTGGTGTGTTCACCACCATCGAGAAGGCTTCTGTAAGTCTACCAAAGGCTGGTTTATTTGTGGAAGATGTTTAGAGTTGTTCAAAATAACGTTAACTTTCCTACTTTCTTTTTTTTTTGGGGGGGGGGGGGGGGGGGGGGGGATCGTGTTGAGATTGGGATTCTTTTTACTAAGGGAGTTTTGGTCAAGGTGGTAGTACAGTAACTTAACATTTAAAAACACAGCAAGCTTGTGATCAGTATTCAGTTTGTTCCTTTTGGATCCAAAATCCACAGATAGTCCAGTTACAGATGTTTTCCAGGGATGAAGGACATCATTCTGACAAAACATATGGAGCTAAAACGCTCCCATAAAAAATAACAATGTTCCAAAGAAACAGACTATGAGACTGAGAAGAGACATAAAATAGTGTCAGCTGCATAAAAGTGAATTTTTGTAGCATTTTGACATAACTAGTTTATGTAAAGAGTGAATAAAGCGGGACCGAATGTGGATCCCTGAGGGACTCCGTCGTGGATGATATAAACATATTCATCATATAACTTTTCTTTAAAAACAAAAAGTGGAGTTTTCTTCGTATCAAGTGTCTTGTCTTTACTCTCCAAACATCAGGCTCACCTGAAGGGCGGAGCTAAAAGGGTTGTGATCTCTGCTCCCAGTGCTGACGCCCCCATGTTTGTCATGGGTGTCAACCATGACAAGTACGATAAGTCCATGAGGATTGTCAGGTGGGTTTCTGCAGGTCAACGCTACTAAATCTGAATAGATTCAAACAATCATTTTAATCTTTCCAGCAACGCTTCCTGCACAACCAACTGCCTAGCTCCCCTCGCCAAGGTCATCAACGACAATTTTGGAATCGTTGAAGGTCTCATGGTAAAAAAAAACTGCACTTGAATGAGAAAATGGCGAACAGCAGCAGTTCTATTTATGTAAAAATAAATTACTTATCATTAAATGTCTACAATCTGGGTGACTTTCAACGAAATGTCAAACATTTCTTAAGGTAAAAATGCTCAGACCTCCTTTTTTTGTTTTCTAATTTAAAGGGACTGTAAGGAAGTTTGAAGTTTTTATCTTTGCGATCGCCACTCAGGCCCAACGCGTAACGGCAGCTTCAAGAGTAAGCTCGTGCATGAGGTGTGCACGCTGTACGTGCACACTCCTTAACGAAAATAACAGCTGAGACAATCCCATGTGTGTGTGTGTGGCCCGGAGGACAGAAGAACACAGCAAATTAACAAAAATAATGTGCCTCTGTCTCCGCAGCTGCGCTTTCTCGTTGGCTGGCCGTACGTGCAGTGTGTGTGTGTGTGTGTGTGTGTGTGTGTGTGTGTGTGTGTGTGTGTGTGTGTGTGTGTGTGTGTGGCCCGGAGGACAGAGGACAGGAGAACGCGTAGCTAATTAATTAAATAATTTGGTTCTGTACCTTTCTCTTCAGCACAGCCGACAAAGGTTTATGATGGGTCAGTCCTCCTGCATGCTCAGATCATTCCCTTCCCTTGCTTGAAAAATTGTTCCAAAATGAAAGTTGAACCCACATCTTTTTTATCTGTGAATTCAATGCCGTTCAGCAAGTCTCAAATAAAAATTTGGGCGTCTTACTGTAAAAAATATACCATTAATGTAAAAAAGAAACTCTAAATGAAGAGTTATGTTTGCAACTGGAGTTGAACCTAGTTCTGCAGCACAAGAGTCAGACACCTTTCTAGGTGAGCTAAAGCTCCAATGACATTCATCCTATCTATAACACTCATATCCTTGATGACAGGTGAAACAACGTCAAACCAAAGAACGGTTCGGAGTGAAAATGGCTATTTTGTTGCTATTTTGCAGGAAATATCTAGAAGAAAGTTCTACAGAAAGTAGCTAAGGGTCCTCAGAAATGTAGCTAGCTTTGTCACTAGGCGTTAGGAACAGCGACAAAGTGGCACTGCCTCTCTCTCTGCTGCTAAAGCTACGGATAGCAAATGCTACGGGCGATGCCTGAGCGTGAACGCGCATGAAGCAGCCTGCTCGACCCGAGCATCTCTCTTTTTCTGTGATTTTACAGAAAAACAGGCAATCACAGTAAAAATGCCAGGGCTCATTCTACAGGACCAGGGCATTGCAGGAGAATGTATGAAGAAGACATTTATTATTTCTATACATGCTTTGGCTGTCAAACTTCCTTATAGCCCCTTTAAAACATGGAGGATCAGTAGAAGTGATGCTGTTTGAGTCGTAATCTTTGGTTCTGATTTAAAGCTCTGACTGTGTAAAACGCTCACGAATCGACCCGTTTTGCCTCTGTCAGAGCACCGTCCACTCAGTTACCGCCACGCAGAAGACCGTCGATGGTCCCTCAGGTAAGATGTGGAGAGACGGACGCGGCGCCGCCCAGAACATCATCCCAGCCTCCACCGGTGCCGCCAAGGCTGTCGGGAAAGTCATTCCGGAGCTGAACGGGTGGGACTGATTATGTCCTGGTTAATAAACTTAAACAGGTTTAAGGTTCAGATTACAAGTGATCAAATGGACCCTCACATGCTTAACAGGAAGCTGACTGGGATGGCGTTCCGGGTCCCCACCCCCAATGTCTCTGTCGTCGACCTGACCGTCTGTCTGGAGAAGCCTGTGAGTTTTACCTGAAATCCGAATGTGTTGCAAAAGAGCACTTTTTGGGGGGGTTCCATTCGTCTCGAGGCCAAATGGGTCACTATATAGATTAACAACGTTTTCATGTGAAATTGTCATCATATAAAATTCACCAGTGTGTGACGCCTAATGGGACTTTAACGTTCCTTCAGGCAAAGTATGACGTCATCAGGAGGGCTGTTAAAGCCGCTGCAGCGGGACCGATGAAGGGAATTCTGGGCTACACGGAGGATCAGGTATTAAATCGATTCTCTGTCACAAGTCAGACTAGAATCATCAAATGCATTTGTCCGTGCTCAGGTCGTGTCCTCCGACTTCAACGGCGACTGTCACTCGTCCATCTTCGATGCTGGGGCTGGAATCGCTCTGAACGACCACTTCGTTAAGCTGATTTCATGGCGAGTTTACGCTGCTTTTAACTCCAATTCTAACCTTTTCATTGGTGAAAATAACTTTAATGGACATCTTATAATGCTGCATTAGCTGGATTAAATTTTAAAAAACACATTTTCTTCATGCAAACAGTTAAACCAGCTTGTTTTTTGTATTTTACCCTTTATTGTCTTTTATTTGTTTGCAGGTACGACAACGAGTTTGGATACAGCAACCGTGTGTGTGACCTGGTGCATCACATGTTCTCCAAGGAGTAAAGCTGTGACCTCTGACCTCCGAGCTGAGATCGAGCTGAGGGTGGTGCAGATATTCTGAGCTGGAATCAGGCTGTTGATGCTTGTTTAATAAAGTCTGTTAGTGAAATGTGTGATTTTAATTTAGTATCGATTCATTCACTTCAACATTTGAATAATTCAGCATTTTGAATTTGGCAAAACACATGAAGGCTGCTATGGCGCGTTTTAGACAAATAAGAACTCGTATGATCTTAACTGAAGCCTAAAGGAAAGTTTCAGCTGGTTTTGGAAGCTGTAACCAGCGCCGGCGCTCCGCACACCCACACCACACATAGCGCGTAGGGCACCACGCCGTGGGGGGGGGGGGGGGGGGGGGGAATCAAACGCAAGCTTATGAAAAAATAATATATATATATATGATAAAGACAGATTTCAATTAGATGATGTGCAAAGCAAGTTAGCATGTTTACAGAGAGAAAACAATACAAAAGGAATGGAGGTGGACCGTGTCGCACCGTAACGTGGTTTAAAACTTTTACCTTATTATAGAATGAATATGAGAAATTATCTTTTTGTGTTTGAATGCAGGCTCAATGAACAAGTACATTCAAGGAGGAGAAGGGTTATTGGAGAAACACATGTGCCATAACCGGTGCTTGTGGTGTGTGGATCTGTCAAATAGTTCTAAATAATAACAACATGGAGTTCCTGTGTTGAGTATGTTATATTACAGTGATCCCTCGTTTATCGCGGTAGATGCGTTCCAGACCTGCCCGCGATAGGTGAAAATGCGCGAAGTAGGGACTCCCAGCATGCCCCTCGCCGGGATTCCCTCCACGTCGCACCTACGTCACAAACCGCGGCTATAAACGGAAGTCGCCTTTCCAGCTCACCACTCAGTCATTGTTTCTTCAGATTCATGATCAGAGTTTCCAACCTACCGATCAATCCAACGAACTATCAGCTCATAGTAAGTTATCTTACTTACTTCTGGAAAGCCCGGCATTGCCGTGTCACTTCGTTGACGCTCAAACGCTCGGGGGTTTCCTAGATTAATCGTGAGCCGGCGTTTCACCGACGCTAAGACTTCCGCGTCTGTGAAACCACGCTCCCTCAGCTGCCGAATCCAGCCGACCAGTCTGACATACAGTACTATATTAATTATCGTATGATCCATTCTCTTTTTGTGGGTAAAACTCAAGAAAAAAATTTTTTACTTGTTTTTTTTATAGTTTTATTACAAAAAGTGCATTTTATGATGAAATTGATGAAAAAAACAGGAATTTCTTGATATTTCGCATAGAAAAATACCGCGAATCGGCGAATTTCCCTTGAATAAGGCTCCAAAAAAATCCGCGAAGTCGTGAATCTGCGATAAACGAACCGCGAAGTAGCGAGGGATCACTGTATGTAATGTGGCAAGGTGGATAAACGAGGGCCCGGGCGGGATTCGATCCCCCAGACTCCCGGGTGAGAGTCATACGCTCTAACCAGTCAGCCAAAGGGGCATGATCAATCGGGACATTGTGACAGGACACTCACTGCCACAGTAAGTATCAGTCCTACTTTTCAGAAATAAGCAGTTTGTGCATACAAGAGAATTAAAGAGAATTTAATGTGAAGCGCTTGCACATACTGTGTTATCGTGTTGTTTTCTCTGCCGGGGGGGGGGGGGGGGGGGGACCACGAAGCCTTTGTGCTTAGGGCACCAAAAATAGCTAGCAACGGCCCTGGCTGTAATCATGTTTTGTGCAAAACAACTACTTTGTTCAACGTTCCCTGCTAAATATGGAAGACTGAAGCAGCAAAATCCTGTTTCTGTGGCAGATTTGGAGTTCTTGGTTTGAGGGAAACAGAGCAGGACTCAGAAAGTCTCTGAATAAATGAACTCAGAGTTTTCAGCTTTTCAGTTATTCCTGGAATCTGAATTAAATGAAAAATAATAACAAACAAGTCTAATAAAACTAAAGTAAAGCATGCTGCTTGGGGTCAACGTCAATCGAACCAAAATTAGCTTCTTAAAAAAGATTTAGAGAAAATAAAATACATTTTTTTACCATTTAAGCAAAAATGTAGATTTTTGTTTGTTTGTTTGTTTTTCTTTGAGCAGCCTCGGTTTAGAGAATTACTGACCTAACTGGCTGATTGGTCACAATGGCATCAATTCTAAAAATGTTCATTCAAAATCCTCTCTGTGTGTTGTACGGTAATTTTCCCCGGGTCCCTCGTTCAGAGGAATTACGGTAAAGCGCCGCTGCAGTCATTCTCTCCTGAGCTCGGCGCCGCCGCTCCGGACTGGTTTCTCCTGCTTTACTGGAACCAGAATCGGAGTTTTCCTCCTCTAACCGACAGGTATGCTGCTTCGGTTTTCCATGAATGGGAATAATGTTTCCTTGTGGGTTTGACGTGTTAAAAAGAGCATAAAAGTGTATTTATGCGCGTGACTGCGTCTGTTTTTCCTCCTGCGTAAAGACTCTGGAATTGCACAGCTTGTCGTCTGAAAGCTGAGGAATGTCTTCTCAGTGCGACAGAGGTTTAGGTTTATAATCCTTCTTGTCCGCAGCTCTCCTGGAGAGGATCACCTGAGCCTACAGGTCCTGCTTCCTGCTTGGATTTACACCGAATCATCTGGAAGCTGAGTGCGCAGAAGTCTGGGTTCATGCCGGATTTCGAGCATTCCAGGTTTTCCTACTCGAGAATGAATCCGGTCCTGGGGGAGAGCGGCTTCCCGGCCCCGCAGCAGCAGCAGATGACGGGACAGCCCGACCCGGCCATCCCGGATCCAGGCTACTTCCTGGGTGATAACGGCGGATTTGGGTCTGATCCCTTATCCGGACTGGACCTGGGTACCCTGCCGCCGTCAACTGGCCTGGCCTACCTGCACCGGGTGCCTCCGGTGGCCACGGCGCTGCGTAACGACTTGGGCTCCAACATCAGCGTGCTGAAGACCCTGAACCTGCGCTTCCGCTGCTTTCTGGCCAAGGTGCACGAGCTGGAGCGCAGGAACAAGGTGTTGGAGAAGCAGCTGCAGCAGGCTCTGGACTCCAGCAGCGCAGAGGGACAGCAAAGGCCCCTGACCAAAAACATGGGGGTCCAGACTGGATTCATCGGGCCCATTCCAACCAGACCAAACTTCATCCCACTCCACAACGCCAACAACCCGGCCTACCTACCTGGGGGCCTCCTCTCCCCCACCCTCAACCCCCCAGCTCTGATGGACAACAAATACACCGATTCGAACTCCAACCTCACCGCGTTCGGCTTCCCTGTCAGTCCAAACCCGAGTCCCAGCGACCCGAACAGACCCGTGGCCAACATGAACAAGAAGCACACTGGCAGCACTCTCCCCCCACCGCCACGCTTCATCCCCGGAACCATCTGGTCTTTCAACCACGCCCGTCGCTTCGGCACCGGGTCATGCACCGCGGGACCCGGGGTCTCCTGGACGCAACCGGGCGGTGTGGGGGTCCAGATCGACACCATCACCCCGGAGATCAGGGCCCTGTACAACGTGCTGTCCAAGGTGAAGAGAGAGCGGGACGAGTACAAGAGGAGGTGAGTTCTAGAGGTTGGTCTCACGGACCTTGAATTAATTCCATAGGCTGCAACACAACAGGCCCCGTCCAAGAACCCATGGCCTGGCTAAGCGTAGACCCAGCCAGCCAATCACAGTGCACCATGAAATGTTTGAAACGGCTTTGGGATCAAGTTCGGATGATTTAATAGCTCTGGTGCTGATATTGACCTTGGCCCATTGACCCCCTATGAAAAGAAAATGGTCAGTAATTTGGGGATTAAAATCGACTCCTCACTTAATCTTGACACTCATGTAAATACAGTGGTGAGGTCCTGTTTCTTTAACCTGAAAAGACTGTCCAGGATCAGGCCTCTGCTGTCCAGAGCTCATCTGGAGTCTGTGTTGCCTGCTTTCGTCCGGTCCCGGCTGGACTACTGCAACGCTCTGTATGCTGGTCTGGCCCAGTGCAAGGTTGCACGGCTCCAGTTTGTGCAGAACTCTGTGGCTTGGTTCCTGACAGGCACTAGATGTCGAGAGCACATTACCCCAGTGCTGGATGATCTGCACTGGCTCCCGGTGCTGGATGATCTGCACTGGCTCCCGGTGCAATATCGAGCTAAGTTTAAAATCTTAACTCTCGTTTATAAGGCCCTCCAGGGCAGTGCCCCCTCGTACATTACTGCACTTTTGCAGAGGTATGCTCCGTCTCGGTCTCTTCGCTCAGCCGAGCAGGAACTTCTGGTGGTCCCCCGGTCGAAATATCGATCGAGGGGTTGTCGTGCTTTTTCTGTTCATGCTCCAACTCTGTGGAACGAATTGCCACTGAGCATTAGGCAGGCACCATCGCTTCATGTTTTTAAGTCTCGTTTAAAGACTCATTTTTATTTGATTGTGTTTTAGCGCTAGGGTTCTTTGAATTGCCCTGACATTATGGTTTTAATTCTTCTTCTTTTTAACCCAGTTGTGGAAGGTGCTCTACAAATAAAATTTGATTGATTGATTGATTTGGACTTGGGCTTTTCTGTGAGTCGAGCAGATCGAGGTACTTAATCTAGAAAAGGGATGGTTTTGCTTCTCCTTCAACGGTGTAGGGCGAACGGCCAGATTCTGCTGCTCTGGTTGGTCCTAGAGCTGTCCAATAGCGTGCAGAGACGGTCTGAAAGACAAACGTAGCTCGGTCTCTGGGTCCTGGCCAGACAGACTGTTGGTCTTTCACTCTAACTTCAGTTTCATGTGTTCCTGTTGCCCTGCTCTTGGTTTTCGCTGAAGCATTCATCAATGGGGCTCTTGGAGGAGCTGAACGCTGATGCACGGCCGGCAGCGGCTGGAGGACGCCTCGTCTCTGGGATGCTTTTAGAGGTCGTTGAGGTCAGGGCTGCTGCAGACGGCCTGGAGAGCTCCAGCTAGAGGAACGCTGACCCGTTCCTGACGGGTCACGCTCAGAAGCTCGGAGCTGCTGAGGCGTCCTCGTCGTTGCCTTTTGGCCTAATTTAAGTTTAATTTATTAAAGCACACATTTCTGTTGCTCTTTACCGTAAATGCGTACTACATTACCCATAAACCCCAGCTGTACTTCTTTTTTTTATTCACTTTGATGTTTTAGTTACTTATCTGTATTTTTACATGAATATTTATGTTCTGTCTCAAAGCTGGAGAGAAAACTGACGAGTCACCGTAAAAACGTCTGAAAGGATGAAAAGTTTCTTATTTTCTCATCAATTCCTCCAAAATCCTTCCCCCTCCTCCCCCTCCTCCCCCTCCTCTCCCTCCTCCCCCTCCTCCCCCTCCTCTCCCTCCTCCCCCTCTGCCTCCCTGCTGACTTTTATTTTGCTACCTGCATTGCAGCACCAGCCGACAAGCAGCAGTGATGTAACCCAGCCTGCTCTCTCCCCCTCTCTCTCTCTCTATCCCTCTCTCTCTATCTCTCACTCTCTCTCCATCTCTTCCATCGCTCCCCCTCTTTCTCTCCCCCTCCCTCTCTCTCTCTCCCTCTCCCTCTATCTCTCACTCTCTCTCCATCTCTTCCATCGCTCCCCCTCTTTCTCTCCCCCTCCCTCCCCTCTTTCTCTCCATCTCTCTCCTCCTGCCCCCTCTCTCTCCCTATCACTCTCTCCCTCTCACTCTCTCTCTTCCTCTCTCTCCCTCTCTCCCTCTCACTCTCTCTCTCCCTCTCACTCTCTCTCTCCCTCTCACTCTCTCTCTCCCCTCCCTCTCTCTCCCTCTCACTCTCTCTCTCTCTCCCCTCCCTCTCTCTCCCTCTCACTCTCTCTCTCCCTCTCTCCCTCTCACTCTCTCTCTCCCTCTCACTCTCTCTCTCCCCTCCCTCTCTCTCCCTCTCACTCTCTCTCCCTCTCACTCTCTCTCTTCCTCTCTCTCCCTCTCTCCCTCTCACTCTCTCTCTCCCTCTCTCCCTCTCACTCTCTCTCTCCCTCTCACTCTCTCTCTCCCCTCCCTCTCTCTCCCCTCCCTCTCTCTCCCTCTCACTCTCTCTCTCTCTCTCTCCCTCCCTCTCTCACTATCTCTCCCTCTATCTCTCACTCTCTCTCCCCCTCTTTCTCTCCATCTCTCTCCTCCTGCCCCCTCTCTCTCCCTCTTCCTCTCTCTCCCTCTCACTCTCTCTCTCCCTCTTCCTCTCTCTCCCCCTCTCTCTCCCTCTCCCTCTCTCTCCCCCTCTCTCTCTCTCTCCCTCTTCCTCTCTCTCCCCCTCTCTCTCCCTCTTCCTCTATCTCCCCCTCTCTCTCCCTCTCACTCTCTCTCCCTCTCTCCCTCTCACTCTCTCTCTCCCTCTTCCTCCCTCTCCCTCCCTCCCCCCCTCTCTCATGCCATTGCTGATTGTTTTTCCGAGTCCGGTCTCTAAACACAAACGGCTGCAGACAGATTCCTGCTGATGATTCCTCAGATTGAATAAATCTTCCCTTTTGGGAAGTCTGGAAAACATTCTCAGTGTGTCGAATCTGTGAAACCAGCTGATCTGAGGTCAGTAGAACCTGAAAAAGCAGAATATTGATTTATTACGTGTTTCAGAAGCGATCGATTAGCCCAAACGCCTCCTAGCGTGTTTACATCTCATCTCAGGGTCTCTCCTCGTGCTTCGTATCCACTCAGGATGCATAATAATCATTATTACAACAACATAACAGAGGGAGGAGTCTCTCCACAGGTGAGACGGGCAGGTAAACAGGTCAGGTGTGATCCTAAAGCTGCAGAAAAGAACTCGCCTCCATCTGATTAAACTGTAAAAACAACAAAACAGTCAATAAATCCTGAGTTCAGACGTCCTGTAATCAGATTACTTATTCCCTGCTGGTCATCAGAATATTTTAATACAACAGAAAAAATCCTGATGTGGAAAAGTTGCATCAAACAGATCGTTTTCATTTGGTGTAAATGTGTATTTTGTTTGTTTGTTTGTTTGTTTACAGATGGGAGGAGGAGTACACAGCCAGGGTGGATCTGCAGGATAAAGTGATGGAACTGGAGGAGGTTTGAAAATAATCAAAAATTATTACAATCCATTAAATAAAGAAAGGCTACTAATAATTATTATTATTATTACTGATTAGATACTAATAGCCTCCATAAACACTGAGTTTCTTCTCTTTGGCCACATTAGCTGCAGAACCAGCTGTTGTCGAAAGTCTTAATTTTCTCGTGTCTTTACAACGTTAAAAAACCGAGTCGCTCAGCTCTCGGTGACGACTCGTGAAGTCGTGTTTGTGTTCTCAGGACCTGCAGGAGAGCGAGGTGCACCAAGTCCAGCTGGCTCTGAGGGTCAAGCAGCTGAAGGCAGAGCTGGTTCTCTTCAAAGGACTCGTCAGCAGCGTGAGTCCCAGTCCCGACCGCTAACTCGGTGACCTGTGCGCACTCGGATAAAAAAAAACAGCTGAAATAAAAACATTCTTAAAAACATGGAGATGTTTGATGATGAGTTCATCGTTCTCACGTCATCTTGTTATTAGCGTCATGATAATATTAGTACTTTTATTCCTTTATTATTTTGTGTCAGTTGAATAAAAACTGAGAATATTTCTGTTGGATTTCAAACCTACAAAAGGGTTTGGAAAAGAACATTTTTAGGATTGAATTGAAATATTTGGTTTTGATGGACGACTCGTCACTCGGGAGTTCACGCTAACCTTTCCGTTCTTCCCACAATCGCTCACACGCAGGATATGTCGGACCTGGACAGCAAGATCCAGGAAAAGGCCATGAGGGTGGACATGGACATCTGCCGCCGCATTGACATCACCGCCCGGCTGTGTGACGTCGCCCAGCAGAGGAACTGCGAGGACGTGATTCCCATCTTCCAGGTGCCCACGCCTCCGTCCGCCTCCAGCCGCCGCAGCAGGAAGCCGAGCGGGCAGTCGCTGAAGAGCGCAGACGGAGACGAGCTGAGCGTGTCGGAAAGTGAAGGGGGCGGGGCTAAGGACGAGGAATCGGGCGGCGCGTCGGCCAATCAGATCAACGAGCAGATGCAGAGGATGCTGAATCACCTGTAGGTGTTTTCATTTTACACGAAGGTGTAAACACAGAACCTAACGTGTGTGTGTGTTTGTGTGTGTGTGTGTGTAGCAGGGAGTGTGAGTTCGAGGACGACTGTGACAGTTTGGCCTGGGAGGAAACCGAAGAGACTCTGCTGCTCTGGGAGGACTTTCCCGGTTACACGCTGGGAGGAGCTGAGCCTCAGGGGGAGGTGGGTTCCCGTCTCCTCCAGATTTACTCGTTTCCTCACCCTGATCGATCCTCCCACATCCAGGAAAGGGAGGCGCTTTTACCTCGGAGCTGCCAGGCGACCTGATGAACGAGTATTTTTAGACATGTGTGTGTGTGTGTCCTGTTGACCAGTAAGCTGGTTAACTAGATAATCTGTGGGGTTAAATGCTAAAAGGAGCCATGGACAGACTCAGACAGATTAAAAGTCTCGTTAGAGGAACTTATTACACAAAACTCCGCTTTTGCATCCTTTCTAACAGACATGGGGACCTCAGCTGCCTTTATAAACACTTAAACTCAATCCATCCATTTTCTCAGCGTTTGGTTTTAGGAACTGTGTCTAAAAGAAGCCGTTTTAAAAAGTCCCCGTTTGTGATGTCACAGTTGGGGAAAGTAGAATCTCTCACGTGCGAGAGAGAGCTGTTCAACTCCAAGCCCCTCCCAGATATCTGAGCTTCTCAGCCATGGGATTGGTGGGCGTGGCCACCTCCTGCTTGTTTTCTTAAGCCGGGCGTACACTGTGCGACTTTTTCACGTTTTTGAGCCGATTTTCCAGTCGTGCGAGAATCCACGAGATCGGGGCGAGTTTTGCGCCGAGCGGTCGTGTAGTGTACAGGGCGTTACGAGAGGCGATTAACACCACGTGACCAGCTACCGATCAGCAATTGTGAGCTCGCACAAACTTCTGGCTTGTTTAATATTTCGCTCGTCCCTCATGAGGGTATCGCACTGTTGAAGCGGCGCTGCGAGCAGCTGCGACCCAAAAAGTATCAGAACCGCTCACGGCGCATGCGCAATCATGCATCAGCACCGCTCGCCCGCTATTTCCCTAATAACACACGTTGTTCGTTTTTATTTCTACACGTTTTTTTACTCACAAAGATTGTCAAGAAAGCGTGTTTGTCGTGTTCATGTCAAATTAAACTGATCACAAAACACAGATTTACTTTCTTTATTTCGTTTTCCTCATCCAACCCCCATAAATCCCTGTGTGTCCTCCTGCAGCACTCCCGAAGGACAACTGGCAAGAATAAAAAGTCTGACGTGTTGTGTAAAAACGGCTATTTTTAGCATATTTTTAGGTCCGACGTGTTGCTACCAGACGTACAGTTTGAGCCATGGACGTAATTTTTACTTTAGAAGTGGGGGGGACAGGGGTGGAATTATCTTTACAGTATGTTCTAATGGGAAACAGGCTTCAACACAAACAGTTGTTTTTCGCTTGGTCCTAGAGCTCAACCAGTGTCAGTTTAATATAGCGTCATATTGTTTTTGGATGGTAAAAAGTGCAGGGGTCAAAACTTGACTTTGGAAAATGTGGGGGGGACATGCCCCCCCTGTCCCCCCCCCCCCCCCCCCCCCCCCCCCCAAAAAAAATTACGTCCATGGTGTGATCACACGTCTCGTGACTTCTGCCCAGCGAGGAAGTCGAACAGTTTGAGTTGGAGCTGAGTACGAGTGAAAAAGTCGCACAGACTCCGCCCAGCTTTAAAGACACAGAGCCCTCAAACGGAAGATACCATTCTGGAAGGTACTGAAAATATCAAAAGAATATATAATTTTTGCTTTCTGAGAGGAATTTAGTGCAAAAACATCATAAACATGTTCTATATCAACCACATAAGTGTTCTAACTTAAGAAAATAAGTCACAACATGTCTCCATTAAATGATTTATTCATCAGTCGCAGGTTTAATTTAGGTTTAGCGCTTATGGTGGTTATTTTGCCCACAGCAGAAGACGGATAATAATGTTTTGCGGTGTGCTTCTTCAACTCAACATTACAAACAGCTTTATTGAGCTAAAGTGTGGTGAGCAGCTGAGAGTTATCCCATTTCCTCCTTTTTCTAGACCCGACCACACACGCCGCCGGTTGCTATGGTGCGTCCTGCTGTTTCTGAGGAGCAGAACGTTTAACTCGACAACTTTCCTTCTTTAATTCATCGTGGAACAAAAAGTTGAATAATAAATTCTGCTTTCAGAAGAATTTCCAGGGAAAAACATTCAATCACCTCAACCTTGTTGTTCCTGCTGCAGGAGGAATCCATAGAGAAGGTGATTAAAGACACGGAGTGTCTGTTCAAATCCAGGGAGAAGGAGTACCAGGAGACCATCGACCAGATAGAGGTGAGACGATCACGTCCGGGTCAGAACCGGGTCGTCTCAGCAGTAATGATAATGATCTGATGTCCTGCTCAGCTGGAGCTGGCCACAGCCAAGAGCGACATGAACCGCCACCTGCACGAGTACATGGAGATGTGCTCCATGAAGAGAGGTTTGGATGTTCAGATGGAGACGTGCAGGAGACTCATCACGCAGAGCGGAGACAGGTACGGAAAGATGGCCGCGTGTTTGTGCGAGTTATCCAAGCTGATGAGCCTCGTGTGGCTCCAGAGTCAGAGAGTCAGGTACAACTTTTAAAACTTCTTCTGTGCTTTATTCCAGCAGGTCCACGTCTCTCATCACGCCGGAGGACTCCGAAGACGAGAGGAAGAAGCCGGCTCTTCCCGCCGCCTCCGCCAGAAGCGATTCCTGCAGCAGCGTCAGTGCTGCCATCCCTCCCGTGACTTGGAGGAAGCCGTGACACACCGCGCCTTCTCCCTCTGATCCTGCCACGCTGACCTACGGTGAACAAACACGCCCTCACGTCCTAAACTGTCTGATTAGTGTCGTCGTCTCCGACAGCTGCAGCCAGATGTGGACAGGAAAAAAGTGACCAGAAGAAAATCAGCTAGTGTGGCAAAAGGAGAACCGAAGCAACAGGAACCAAAAATCCCAAACCCGATCGCTGCTGTCAAGGATCCCGGCAGAAAAAGTCACGTTTTACAGCTGAGACAAGCAAATGCCCAGAGTCTGTGTGCTGCCCTCCTGTGGTCACTGCCTGTAACTACACGGAAACGATGCACTTTAAGTATGTGTGCATTTTATTTTGCACATTATTTTCATTGTTTCAAGCAGGAAAACGTAATTTGCACATATAAAAGAAAGAAAAAACTGTATTAACGCACAAAGAATGTAGTTCTCACATGTCGCCTAAGTGTTTTTCTCAGAGTTGTTTGTGTTTTTCAATTTTTAAACATGAAAAATTCATTTTACATGAATTTTCGTGGTTATTAAATATCCTTAAACTAATGTAAAAAAGTCTGATGCAGCACAGAAAAATACTCAGAAATCCACAAATTCGTTAGATTAATTTGAAATGCTAGAGTTCTCTGCTTGGAAAGATATGTTTGCACATTTTTAGACTTTAAAGGCAACTTTTATTCTGAAAGTTCTGGAGTTTAAATAAACAAATTGATTGTTTAGGTGGTAAATTTTCTGCATTTTTCTGTCTTCATAACAAAAGACATTCTGTGTTCTTTAGAATAAAAAATGAGGAAACTTTGCAGCCAAAAAGTAGATAAATCGTGTTTTTTTTGCTCATTTAAAGGTAAGATTTAGCGTCTGTTTTGTGTAAACTCTTCCTGGTGTTGCTGTCAAAGTTAAAATAATAATAATGTTTCCTTTAAAGAACATATTTGATCTGTACGCCGTCCTAGCTGAGGACTGCAGACGAGTTTATGTAAAGTAAATGTTTTGAGTCACTTCTGTGTCATTTAAAATAACCTTTAGTGCAGAAGATGATGCTTCTGAACTTTTAGTTCATTTATTTAGTAAAATCAAATAAATTAAGGGGAAAAATCACCTTGCGGGGGAAAGATGCTGCAAGTTTGATTCCCAGCTGTTATTTAAATGGTTATTATGATAGGAAACGTGATGAATGTGTGCAGAAAACATGTTATTTGGCTTGTGTAATCACAAAGAAAAACAAATAAAAGGTTAAAAAAATCTGTTGTTTAAATGTCTCAAAGCTGCACCAACGTGTCAGAATTCAGCTCAAAATCCTGATTTTTTTCCCCTAATTTGTGTTTTTTTTCATAATAAAAACACAAATTTCTCATGTAAAACCTGTCGAACTACGTTTGTTTGCATCGATTCCATATTTTTACTTTTATTGAACATTTTCTGATTCAATGACAAAATTTCTGTCAAATGTTTGAAAATTCATAAAGTCAACGTTTAAAAACTGAATTTTCTAAAGTTGACAAGACGTCGTATTTTGTGTTAAATTAACACTTTTAAAAAAGAAAAGACCATTCAGCTGATTTCTCCAGAAGAACTGATTAATTCCATTTTGTTTTCCATCTTTGTGACGTGGTCACACCTGAGCCTTCAGCTGGAGCAGGTCCATCCTGTGGAAGACCTCCGGTGTGGTTCCAGTTCCCAAAACATCACATCCCTGTCGCCGTGACCTCCCACCTGAGGAGGACCATGGAGAGACTCATCCTCACCCATCTACGTTCAGCAGTGAGCCCGGAAAAAGACCCGCTGCAATTTACACATAAACCAAACTTGGGGGAGGAGGAGCTCCACAGGGTATGGTGCTCTCACCCTTTCTCTTCACCTCAGACTTCACCTACAACACCAGCAGCTGTCACCTCCAGAAGTTCTCTGATGACTCGGTCATTGTCAGCTGTGTGTGTGAGGGGAATGACCTGGAGTACAGGTCAGTCATCATGGACTTGTGTGAGTGCACCTTCGCTTGAACACCAGTGAGATGAAGGGAATGGTGAGTGACCTCCAGAGAAACGCTCTCCCTAAACGTCCAGGGAGTTCAGTACTTGTGCAACACTGGATGCGCATGAGTTTGTGTCCCTCATGCTGAATAGTTCTGGATCAATGAAGTCTATTCTATTCTATTCTATTCTATTCTATTCTATTCTATTGTTCATTTATTGCTTGCTTCCCATCTGATTTGCTCTCACAGCGGCGGGACGCCGGCGGTCCTGAAAACCAACGACTCCACTGAAGACCAGAGACAGGAAACAGCAAACAGGACAGAAACTAAACTGCTGAAGGGAAACAGCTGAGCTTCGTCAACACTTTAAACGCTCCGTTTGCCTCCAAACCAGTAAAAAACACCGTCACAAAGCAGAAATGCTTCTCCAAACAACCTCAGAGAAAATGTTAGTGTTGGTCATTCTTTGATTTTCCTCTTTTTCTCCTCTCTCTTCTTTCCTTTTTTCCCTTCAGCCTTTTCTGCCTGCTCTGTTTTCCTGATGGGAACAGCATAAAGATGCAGGAAGGACGTTACCTCCTGTTAGCTGGAACAACAGCCGCTCACCTGTGATGCACTTTTCTTCCCTTGTTCCATTATCTCACATTAATTCAGGATTTTCCATCTTAAAACTGTGAAAATGATCAATTACAAACATCACAAAGACCATTTTTCCCCCTGGCTCGAACCCTGTTGTAATGGGCCTTACTGCCCTCTGCTGGGCACAAGAGGAACTGCATGCGAACTGACTAGAAGATGAGAAAAAAACTTAAATAAACATTTTTAATAAGATGAAAAAGTGAGTAAATGTTCAGGAAGTCTGAACTTCAGAACCAATTTAACATTTTTTTCATTAAAAACAAGAAGTGAACAAACAAATGTAATTGCTAATTATCATTACCACATCAATAATTATGAAGTTTATATTTCATTGTATCGGTGCTTTGCGCCTAATGCCCGGATCTATGAAAAGCAGCTCTTTATTACTCCCTTTTATTATGTTACAGCCTCTGACGGGGGCTGTGCTTGTATGCGCGTGCGTGCTCGTGTGGGCGGGGCTTCTCTGTGATGGACAGATGGTGTTTTTCTGCGCAGCTTCAGTTTCTTTGATCTCCTTTCAGTTTAAGAGAAAGTTAAAACACCGGGAAAAGAAAACAAACGGAACTTTTATTTTATTTTATTTTATTTTCTGAAGCACCCCCAACCCCTGTTGTTACTACTCCCCCTCCCTCCCCCCTCTCTCACAGATAATCCCATCATCCCACCGCTGAGATGTGAGTACACATTTTATTTCTTTTTCAAACCATTTTTTACCTCCAAAAACCAACATTTGTGTTTTTATTCTTTGTGTAGAAAGTTTCATTAATCTGATTTCCGTCTGATTTAAGCGGGTTGAGCTTTAAAAATAAATAAAACTTAGTTTCTCGTCAGTTTTTGGTCGCTTTTTGTGTTTTTATCAGAAATGATGCGTAAATCTGGACATTTCCGGCGCGCAGCAGTCAGGTCCTGCAGGAATATGACCGTGACTCACCGGCTGACTCACCCACAACAAAGTCTCCATCAGCTGCGGCTGAACGTGTTCAGCTCTATTTGAACTCATCAGACCTAAAAGTGATGCAGGCGTTTAAATCTGATCATCAGACTGAAGTTGAGAAGGTTTCTGTTTTGGAGAAGATGGTTTAAACGTGTTTGCATGTGGGGGAGGGGAGTTTTAATGCTGGCATGTTGATCTCCATCACTCAGGCTGCTGCTGCACTAATCTGTCTCCAGCCTCCAACTTCACCCATCTGCTGAAAATAAAAAGAAACAGACAAAAAGAGCGGCGCTTCGCCTATCAGACATGTTTAACGTTTTATTTCATGTTTATTTATTTATTTATTTATTGTTTTAGCTGCTTTAAATCACAACATTCAGATCTTTGGAGCATCATGAAAAGGAAATGTGATCATTAATAATCATAAAAATAACAATGACAGTTCCAACACCAAGAATTAAGGAGCCTGTATGTCAGACATCTTTGATCTAATCCAATAAAACATTAGAAATAATAAATTTTCACTTTATGTTATTAGAAGGTTGTTTGACTGATTGATAAACTTATATTTGATCATTTAATTAGAATTCTAAATTTAAAGTTTGTGTTTAATTTAACATGTTTGTATCTGGACTGTGATGCTTTAAACTTTAAAATAAAAAATAGAAAATATTCGAATACTAAGATAAAAACTATAGCATCTTTACTTTATTGTGTCATTATAAATACAGCAACAAAGAAATAAAATTGGCCCTTACCGCCCATAAACTAGTCCTGCACGTGTGTACTGCCCCCTAGTGGAGGATCTACACGTGTCAATTACTGTTGTAAACAAATGTATAAAAATAAATGCATATATTATTGTTACATTGGGGCGACGGTGGCACAGGAGTTAAGTGCTCGCCTCGCAATCGGAAGGTTGCCGGTTCGAGATCCGCTCAGTCTGTCGCTGTCGTTGTGTCCTTGGGCAAGACACTTAACCCGCGTTGCCTGCTGGTGGTGGTCGGAGGGACCGGTGGCGCCAGTGCTCGGCAGCTTCGCCTCTGTCAGCGCGCCCCAGGGCAGCTGTGGCTACATTGTAGCTCATCCCCACCAGAGTGTGAATGTGTGTGTGAATGGGTGAATGACTGATTGTGTTGTAAAGCGCCTTGGGGGGTTCCAGGACTCTAGAAGGCGCTATATCAAATACAGGCCATTTACCATTTACCATATTACAGTTTTTCTCTGTTGGTTTGGCTCATTTCTTGAAACAGAAATTACATTCTCAAAGTAACGTGGACAAACCTCCATCTTGGCAAATGTTCACAACAGAATGGCATTTCTCATTCATTTTATCAAATGGCCTTAGTGCATGTCTCAATTGTCTCAGTGCATCTTGGCAAATGATTAAGCACATGTAGGGGGGCTGGTGCCTATCTCCATTGGTCAATGGGCAATCAGGCAGGGTACACAGAGACACACAGGACAAACAATCACACACACACACACTCACACATAGGACAATTTA